CCCAACCAACAAAAATAAATGCATGTGCATTAATTATTGTACCTATACTGATGCAGAATATCCAAACACCCTCAAAAGTTTCATCACAGTATTATTAAGCGGTTGTTGGTCTGCCATCTAATATTGCGGATTATAGTAACAGCTGAAGAATCATCTAGGGAGCAAAAATGAGTTGGTCCAGGATACAACCATCAAATATGCATACAGTTGTGGCTTACAGTTCAGTAAAAGTAGCAATTACTCAATGAGCAGTATAACTTCACTCACCAAAAAAGGTAGATATTTGATCATTTTATTTCAGTTTGCTTGGAGCAGCCTGCATTCAAAGTGCAGCATTTAAAGATTCGTTTTTATTAAATAGGTCAACAGTTATCGAATATTTCAAAAGATTGCAAGTAATGACCGAAATTAAGACGAATAACAGGTGTAATAAAAATTGAAGAGATGTAGTCACGCATTTGTCACCGCATGACCAATAATCAAAATATTGACCAGTACAGTGATTGAGCCCAGTTTCATCTGTCTTTGCTCCTCTTAACACATTCCTGTACATAATGAGATTATTTCAGCACCAGAATCCTCATATTTAACTGGACTATTTTGTCTCAAAAACAAAAGATGAACAGAAAAAGTGAGACAAGCCTTATTTGCTATTTTATGTTCGTATCTCAAAAATTCCAGGATTGCCTATATAACCCAATTAAGTGCAAATTATTTTCTAATGAACACGATAACAGTGTCATGGGTAAAAAAAAGGTTTACTTCTGTGTATCCTCTCACACCATCATGCGTTCACTCATCCATGATTTAACCAACATGTCATTCATTCCATGAATCGATTATATGTGTATGCAAGAACAGAGGTCATAACAAATTTGTAATGCCTGCAACTTAAGATCATTGTGCCCCAAATACTATGGGCTAGGGGAAGATTCAAAATGATGTATAGAAAATAAGCTTCATAGAATTTAGCAAACTCATTGATTATACAAGAACAAGGGTCATAATATTATAAGAACTGCATTACCTTTCTTATAGTTAATTTTTTTCTTACCCCCTGTTTTCGCCAAAAGTTGGTTTCGTTGTCGAATTCATTATATCTTCGGTCGATTACAATAAATTCAAAGAAAACAGCCTTTTTATAAGACTCTTTTACACAACAAAAAGAAAATTACAACTCTTGAGAAAATAAACGCAGGATCGTTGTTTGGATCACTGCTTTTGTGGGATCTTTGCCTGTGCCGGGAGCGCTTTGACTCGTGGACCACCAAATCACAGATTCTGATTGAACCGTGAGGGGTTTATGATTCTGACTTCGTTTATCGAAGTGAGAAATTGAAACGATATCTTATCGATGTAAGATAGTCGTTCTTCTTGAAATCAAGTCAAAGCCTGATTATCAAGGATTGGCCGTAAGATCAGCACCTCTGCTCTCTGGATTGCTCTGAAATGCTCCCTATGATCAGCCTCTCTCCTTCCCTGTGAAAATAGCCTTCGGGGGGGTATTTATAACCCTCTGGATGAACAATGCTCGCGAGACAGCATTTGCTGTCTCGGCGGGCGAGACAGTGTTTGCTGTCTCGCTGGCCGAGACAGTGTTTGCTGTCTCGCCCAGCGAGACAGTAAATTTGCTGTCTCGCCCAGCGAGACAGTAAAATACTGTCTACATTTCTGGCAGTTTTCGATGTAACTGCTTTCCCACGTTTCAAACTCCGTTATTTTGGCAGTTATCCACGTGTTTCTCGCCCACGACGTTTCCCACGTTCTTGAACAGTTAGTGGCCACGTGTAGGACAGTTACAAAGGTAGTTTTGACCATCTGATAACTGTCTCGTGTGCGAGACAGTAAATTCTGTCTCGCACGGCGAGACAGTAAATACTGTCTCGCGGGGGGCGAGACAGTGAAAACTGTCTCGCCAGGCGAGACAGTAAAGACTGTCTCGCCTGTGAGACAGTCTATACTTATGTTCTTCTGCCTTTTTGGATGATTTCCTCTTGAGCTGTATTTGGATATCTTTCAGCATTTTTTGACGCCTACACCCCCTTTCTTAATGAAAAAAGAGATGAAAAACAGGCTGTTTGATAATTACTGTAGCACTGTTGATGGGGCCAACGGGTCAAACTTGCCACGCTCTGCTGCATTTGGTCACAACTTTAGAGCTTCGAACATGAATTTCAACATTCAAGTTTAATCCTGCCCTTGAGTGTGACCTGCTCCAACCACCTACCTCTAGGTCTATATTTTATCTATTCCCTTTTTATTTCCGCTACCTTCCATATATTTTCCTTTTATATGTTTATTACTTTATTAAGTCTTTGTCTTTCTTTCTTCACTCTTTTCCTTTGTTCTGACTACCTTTCTCTGTTGCTTTTCATCCTATTCACCCTTTTTCTATTTCACTAATTCTTGACTTAGTTTTTCTATTGTCCAGGGGTTCCTTTTCAACTTTTTATCTATGTTTATATTATTTGTTTATGTTTTTTGTTTTATTTTATTTAATTCTATACTATTCATTTATATATTTTGTGCGTGTGACCGTGGGGTGAGTAGGTACTGCATAAGATAGTATTGTTGCCTGGGGGGGGAGATGTCTTCAGTCGAAGCCTAAGGCCTTTAAATTTGCAAAACAGGATTCAAGACAACATAACAAAATGTTCGGTAATTGGAGTTTTCAGGCTCTACAACATCTAGCTACTAGGAAAGAAATGCCTTTGCGTGTAGAGTTTGTTGGAAGTGTAAGGAAGGAAGTGAGAGTAGTTTCCTGAGTAAATAAGGAGAAAGAAGGAGGAGGAGGAGATGGAATGATGATAAGGATATCAGATAAGTACGAGAAGTAAATACCACTAGAGACATGGAAGTTGGAGATGCAAGGAATTAGAGAGCAAGGGAAGGCACATATTCAAGTGAAGTGGTGTCTTAGAAAAAGATTATAAGATCTGAACCAAACAGATCTATGTTTATGTGTAGTTCCCTTGAATGCCAACTAACGGTGAGAAGTAGTTGGAAAGATGTGGATGTTACAGTAAGAAGAAGTTGGGAAGATGTGGATGTTGTAATGAGGCTTATGAAATGTTAATGGTAAAACAGAGGTGGAGAGGAGGCTAGTAGAAGCCTCCTTGTCCGCCTCCTATCAACTGAATCTGATGATTCAACCAAAGGACAAGATCTATAAAAGTAAGGTTATAGGATGAAAATTGTCCAATGTCTTTTTTACTTGGTTATTTGGTTGCTAATTTTATTAGATAGACTCTGAAAAAAATTTACCTTTTTATTGGTACTTTGCAGTATAATGAATTTTTCCTTACAACATGTTTGAAGTCAGAACAGCTCACACAACAATCTCCTCTGCATTATTTAGTAATATATGGCATGCCTCTTATTATTACTGTTGTTGATGTCTGTTCTTAAATCAATGCGAGACATGTCATATTTATGTTTCTTCCTTTATGTTTTTCCGTGACATCTATTCATGCACTAACATTTTAGAACAAGTAGTTCATTGCAATGGCATTCTTGTTGTCAGCTTTCAGCGTGTTGAAAAGAAAAAGAAAAAAAAAACTTTGCTCAGGTTTGTTTGTCACTTAAGTAGGCGGTTAGTTAACATGATTCACTTAATTTTTCCAAGTCTAAAACTCCGATATGAAGCTCAAGAAGTTTTGTTCAGGGAAATGACAATGGCTAGACGCCAAAATGAAACCCTTAAGATTATATAATGACTTAAAGTAGAAGAAAAGAAAAGAAAAAGAAAATACACGACAATATGAAATGAAAGAGAAGCATATAAAATGGGTTGTAAAGGTAGACTGCCTACCAATTTCATGCGAGATGTTTGTGAAAAAAGGAAAACAACCCACCATGCGCCAACTTCATATAACCCAAGGTCATAACAATCAAGAACAGTACAAAGAAAGAAGCTCTCATTAAGATACCAACACATTACCTTGTATACATATAATGCTTTTACACATTTTGGTTCGCAACGGTCTTCAAGGTACTTCTTTGGGTCAACAAGCACTTCATCAGCCCTGAAACGTAAGATAAAGATAAAATCACAGCCAAAGCACATAAATATGTTGTATTAATACTTATAAAATTAGAGCTAAAGCACATAAACATCTGTAGTCATTTTAGGTTTGCCCTTTATTGGTACTAGACTACTAGTATCAGGAATTTAAGAGTTTTGACTTACAACTCAAAAGTTGTCTTAGTATATGGAATAAGTTAAGTTGGTCATAGGATTTTTATCATTGATTTATTCTTTATTTATTTTCAATATAATACTATCAAATTAATTATTGATACTTCTAGATCTTAAATTTCCGCCTATATTAGTTAATTAAAATCAATATTTGTTCGCATTTGTTGTTACCAGCTAATATTGGTGGGGTGGTTGGTTTTGACTAGATCATATCTGCATGCTTAACATCTTGCGTGATACCACTGATGCGTATCGCCATCTGCTGGAACTTCTTTGTCATGATCTATTGATCTTCTCCAAGCATATTCACATGTGACATTTCCAAGGGGAGCAAGTTGTCTCTAAATTGGGGATAAAGCTGACAACCATTAGTTCTTCATGTTCCCCACGCGTATTAATTGTATAGTATTTGCTCAGTGTATTGACTGATGGAACAAGCAAAACACATGTACACCTCATTTAGCAGAAACTCATTTGAATGCTTCATCATACGATTTTACTTATTTATTAATACTAGTATGATATACCCTCTTCAGAGAAATTATATATTGACAGCGGAGTTGACCAAAAAGAGTATTAAAAATCTGAATAGTATATTTCACAAGTTTGTTTTGCCTCTTTAATACTTCTCCCCACAAACTTAACACCTAAAGGATGACGTGAATTCTGTGCAGCAAAAGTCAATGTAGCAGAACCTTAACTCCCAAAGTCAAGTGGGTAAGCCTATCTTCCAACTTGTTCAAAAGCAACTCCCAAATTACCCAAGACAAGGAAAGAGCTTAGCTACGAAGTAAGATGATGTGAATTGTTATAAAGAGTCATGCCCACCTCTGAGGTACAGAACTATCGGATATCCAACACAAAACACAGTATCAATCTACCAGAGAGTAGATATGTTCTAAAAATAATGTGCACAATAGTAGTGATGCAGTAGGGGCCTCCCCTGAAAAAAAGAAAATGCAGGTAAGCAAATGGAGTTCTCCAGAACCGTTTCAGTCACAAAGATTCTTCACTGTATCGAAACTCCGTGACTGGGGGAAGATAATAAATAAATACTACCGGACTCCTACGCCCAAGTTCCAACTAGCATCACTAAATGGTGTTTATCGCCTATCCAAATCCCATAGAATGCAAACCCGTTTCAAAAACAAATCCACTGATCAAATGCCGCAATGCATTTCTAATCATATTCCAAACCCTCGCATGAGTGCTTGCGCACATGATCATCCGCAAGTAAGCGCTACATTACCCACAATGATTTCACCTCAAAAGAAAATAACACATGGAAAAATCTGCATCATTTCAGCTCGTGATATGCTTTAAACTAATATTAACAAGTTAATCGATATCCCAGATTGACAATTGCACCAAAAAATGACAAGTTTAACCCAGATATTATGAGCATTTAATTATATTAGAGAGACAACTAAGATTCAAAATTAAGCGCTTCCAAATTCAAAGAAAACAAACCGCAGTTAAGATTGAAAACTCACATCTAGATCACGACTGAGCTTCGCAATCGAACCTCCTGCGTGAAATTTGACTGCTATTAGGGCTTTTTCAGAAATCGAAGTGCAAACATTAGAGTGATAAAAAAAACCCTAGTTCTAAACAAAATGGGATTAAATCGATGAGAATATTGTCAAAAAATAGCTCACCTTTGTTCCTCCAAGCTCCCAAGATGGAAATCTGAAATTTCGCTGTATTGATGTAACGTTCCTATTAGCATGGGCTCAAGAGGAAGATTTTGGGCCATATGAAGTAGGTCCTCTTAGTAGAATTTGCCAAATTGAGACTGGGCTTTTTATTGGGAGGTGTCTTGCTTCCTGAAGGCCAAAGTTTGAGGACCATGATTAGGCCCAGCTTGAGATTAACGATTGAATATTTCTGATGACGTGAGCGCGCTGCAACCCAGTCTCTCCTGTTGAAAAAAAAAGAAGGTATCGTCTATTAATGTATAACATTTTACGAGCTAATTTGAGAACAAGGTGGGATCGAAGAGAGAAATATTAAAAATTTCCAACTTAATAACTTCATGATTGACTACAAATATTTTGACCAGTATTTGTTTTAAAAAGACTAAGATGTCTTGCAATTGGTTGAAGATAATGAGGTCAAAATAGATGGCTTCTTTCGCTAAATTTGTTTTTCTTCTTCGTTCTGTTTAGAGGTTGTTTGGTTGGCTAAAAAAACAAGGAAATCAAAGAAAAAAATATATTTCCTATAAAAGGTTTTTTTCTTGTGTTTGGTTTACTTCTTAAATGTACGAAAGGAGATGAGATGAGATGAGTTGTCACCATATTATTGGATGATGTGAGTGATTTTTTAATAAACAAATCTCATGACTTGTTTTGAGGTTGTTTGGTTGGCTAAGAAAACAAGAAAATGAATTATAAGAAATCTATTTTCTATAATAGGTTCTTTTCTTGTGTTTGGTTCATTCTTAAAACTAAGAAAATGGATGAGATTAGATGAGTTGTTATTATATTATTGGACCGCCCTCTCCCCTACGTAGCACCGAAAAAAAACGCATATATAAAGTAGCATATGTTATTTACTAAACAGCGTACGCTATTTAGCGCGCCATGACGGCCACCTGAGTGTACGTTAAATTGATCAAGGGTTTGGATTGTTTTTTAAAAGAAATTGATGGAGTTTTTAGTGGGTGAACCTCACTTTTCATAAATAAAATTCATAGAGAAGCCCTAGATCCTTCACTGCTCTCTTTTCCGCCTCGAGAAATTGAAAAGCCTTAAATCATCTTCTTCTTCCTCTGTCTTCTTCTTCATCGTCTCCACCTGCTCGCCTCATCACCTCCTCCTGCTCGCCGTCTTCTTCCTCATCACGCAAGCACCCAGAGAACCCCCGTCGACTTCTGAACCCATTGCGCCCGGAGAATCTCATTTCATGATTTTTTTTAGGAAATTGATGGAAATCATTTTTTAATAAAATGAGATTAGTTGTCACCATATTGATGTGACTTATTTTTAAAGATGAGATGAGGTGGATGATGTGATTCATTTCTTGTGTTTGGTTTATTTTTAAAAATAAGAAAGAAAATGAGATGAGATGAGTTGTCATCATATTATTGGATGATGTGGGTGATTTTTAAGAATAAAATTTGGGGGCTGTTTGTTTGCCTAAAAAAAGGGGAAATCAAAGAAAATGAAACATATTTCTAAGAAAAATAGGTTTTGGGATTGTTTGGTTGGCTAAAAAAAGAAGGAAATCAAAGAAATGGAAATGAGATGAGTTGTCACCTTATTATAGGATGATGTGAGTGATTTTTTAAGAAAACTTGTTTTGATGTTGTTTGGTTGGCGGAAAAAATAAGAAAATAAATTATAAGAAACTTATTTCTTGTATTAGGTTGTTTTCTTTTGTTTGGTTATTTCTTAAAAATAAGAAAATAAATGAGATGAGATGAGTTGTCATTATATTATTGGATGATATGACCCACACTTAAGGAAATTGTTTTCCTAGCTTTTTGGGAGGAAAACAAAGAAATGAAAATGTTAATGAGATGAGATGAGTTGTCACAATCTTATTGGATGATGTGTGTGATTTTTAAATATGAGATGAGATGAGTTGAGTGATGTTGTGGATGAAAATAATATTTTATTAGATGTGATGGATGAGTTGTTGGATAAAAATAATATTTTATTAGATGTTATGGGTGAGTTTTAGGGATGGAAATGTGTGAAATTGTACTTTTTGAGATTTCTTGGTTTTCATTTCTATTTTTTTGTTTTTTAGGAAATAATCAAATAGGCCCTTGATGGAAGTCAACTTTTAATGGTTTGTGATGTCTTGTTTCCTTTTCTTTGATTTTAGGAAACCAACCAAACACGAGCTCTCAAAAGAGAGTTGTGCACAGTGCTTAGGAGATAAGTGGCTAACCGTTCCGCTTGCTCCTTTCGCCACTTGAAAAATACAAATTATGAGTTCTAAATATTAAATAGAAGTTGAGACCGATCTACTAGCTATAGCCTATAGCTTTTCGGTGAACTTAATTCACAGTCTCCTATTTAAAACTCACCCTCGCTCGATTTGCCCTGATTTTCTATCTAACTAACTATGTTTGCCTTAGAATCACAACTACTCATTTTACCCTAGCGAAAGGGCAAAAAATGACAATATGGTAAAAAAAAAAAATATTTCAAAGTTCCATGCCCAAGTATACGGTTTGCATGCCTGTGGCCCATTCGGACCATATAATGATGGCAAACCTCGTGCACGGTGCACCGAACCATCCTTTTTTACTAGATCGGTGTACATGGTTGTAAATTCTGTGCCCGCAGTGCTCACCGTCGTATACATGGACTTCTTAGAACTAATGGGGAAAAAACAACGAAAATGATAACTAGGCCTCTCTGCAATATAGTTCACACGTACCACCCACGGGTGGGGCTTCTGGCTAGCGCCATGAGGAGTGAGGGAGGAGATCTCTCTGGTTGGTGCATTCACCTGGTTTCTGTGGGTTTAAGGGTGGGGACAGAAACCCGAGGTTTTACTAGTCGGTTAACCCAACCCGTTATATGCTAACCAGTTCGTGCCCTTTCGGGCCCCACGCTGATCGCCCGTTCGCGTTGGGATGAGCCCCTGGTAGCAAGGGTAGCTCCTTTCAAAGGTGAGAAACCTTAGGGATTCGAACTAGGGTCGTTGGCGGACTCCAAAGGAGTTAAGTTAGGGGAACTTACCGGGTTTCCCTTCAAATGACATCTCTTTTGCCATGTCAAAGTTATTAATTTGACAATAACCCCCCTCCCACACACGCTAATCATGCTTAAGATTCCGTCAGCCGTGATCAATTAAATATTTTGCTGGCGATGGCCTTTGGGCACATGTGAAAGCATATAGTCATCATGCAAATGGCAGCTTAGGAACATGTAGTTGTAAATGGAATATGTAATTGGTTCACAGAGCAGTACTACGCGTGATCTAGATTTTAAGTTAATTGCTAATTAAACTAAAGAATAATAAATTCAACGATTGGTGTGACTGGGCCCGAGTTCGCAGGCTGCAAACTTGGGCCGGGTCAAGTGAGGTGGCCGAGACGGTGACCTTTGTGGTTGGTTGGATCCGGCTTCAATACTATATTATCAACTTCTTGATAGGGTTTCGATCCTAATTTGATCGTGTGAATATGAAAGGCAATAGTATCGCTGTCTATGGATTGAAATCCTGTATGTTTGGCAGCCAAAATGAGAAAAAAAAAATTAAATTTATACATCCAAATAACGAGTAGAGTTACGACTAAGAAATTTTTTTAAGGGGTTGTTTGGTTCGTTTCGTAGATATAGGAAAATGCATTTTTATGTATGAAAACACAAGTTTTGAGTTTTTCAAACTTTTCTAAGAAATAGATTATTTCGTTTTGGTTCACAAAAAAAATGATGGGAAACCAATGTATTTATTTTTCTTGTGTTTATATGGCAATAAGCTGATGTGGCTGCAGTTTTCGTCGATTTCATGAGGTGGGGAAGGAATTAGGAGGGAGAAAAAATATGATGTGGCGGCGATTTTCACCGAGTTTCCCTTCTTCAACCCTAGCGAACCAAAGATAGGAAAAAAAATCGACAGAAAGCTTATATTTTACGTGACTATAAAAAATCTGATGTGGAGGCAGTGTAAAATTTTTCCAATGAGTTAAAAAACGAACCAAACAGCCCCAATGAAAAGGATGCAACAAAACAAAATTTCCCCATAGGTGGCATGGCAAATGAATAGTAGAGTCAAATTAGAATGATGGTTGACGCAAAAATCAAAAATCGAACCAAAACTAGCAATTACCATGAGTAAACATGCGTCCAAAATTGAAATAATCACTTATGATCTAAGTATAAACAATGATCTAAAATTATGACTATCTCTGTGTACGTCATGTCAAAAATATATTAATGAAGATCGTAGAGCTAAGAATAGCCGTAGCTTACTTTATTAGCAAGCTGTTTCCAGATAATTTTCTTACCTATTTGAAGTTAAATGATCAATAAATTCCTATATTTCCAAATATCTAATAAACTCGTGCCACTACACAACTTATTAGATAATTAAAAGGTTATTAACATGCATGATATGTATTTCTCCTGTCAAGAAACATTTAAGAAAAAAACAAATTAAAAGGTTAATATCTCTATGATATGAATT